TATCCTACACTACGGACGCCCTAGTGTATGCACAGTCCTTGTGATGCCAGAAATGCCTACCCCTCTTTCCAGCACAAGGCATACATAAGCGGGGGGTAAATTTACCCCCCAGATTTGCAATAACCATACACCGGCTATTTCCTCAAGACACTCTATTCCATATACCTTTTACCCGTGCTTCTCCTACACTACGGACGCCCTAGTGTATGTACAGTCCGTATGATGTCAGAAATGCTTACCCATCTTTCCGACTCAAGGCATACAAAAGCGGAGGGTAAATTTACCCCCCAGATTTGCCGATCACGCATCTTCGTGCCTGCCAACGAGTGCACCCGGGTTGTTCCAATGTACCCTTCCCAGTCAGCGATGTCACATTTACATTCTTTAGCGCAAAGTATGTACATAGCAACCTTCCTCCCAAAACATGTAATCCCTACATGCTTTGCCGACTATGTAACTAGTACTAGTACATCCGGTGCGATTCGGCTAGCTTTCGACCTCTCCCCCTGGCCTCAAGTATGCTTTGGTAAAGACCATTAACATCCATTAAAGCAATGATTGTTGGAATCCGAGGAGTTTCTAGCTTTTTTCAAGTGGCGTGTTCACACCGAGCATCGATGGACATGGAAAATCAACCGCTTTCTATTTAGGATTGAAAGGCGTCCATAAGATACAGATAAGTTAACAGTAGATCAGGAACCTCATGATTGTAAGAAATGTAAAGGAAATGTAAAGACATTGAAGGAACCAAGCAACACGTGTGAATTGATGCGGCATTTCGATCCGAGCTGTTTTCCCGTGCATCGCGCCCCCTCGCTCCCCACTACTTACGTATAAAGCAAAAACCATCTCTCCTTGGACGTCCGCAGTCCTCCCCCAACAAAACACATGAGGCCCATTGAGGCCTGTCACCTCCCTCACATCCCATTCATCCCCATTCCCCCCTTTTTTCAGTGGCGAACAGCGACCCTCTTTCCCACTCTCCACCCCTCACCTTCCTTCACCTCTCACCCTCCACTGACTGCACGCGCTGCAAGCAGCCCACGCCCACGCCCAGTCCTCCAAGCAGCTGGTGGGTCGCGTCCTGAAGCTCTGCACCGACGAGAGCACCAACCCGGACCTGAGCTGCTCGGCCGTCGGATGCGGCGGCGGGGCGACGGCAGCGGTGGGCGGGGGCTTCCGACGGTCTGCGGGGGTTTCCGGCAAGGTTCCGGCGCGGGGGACCATGCCGCGAGAAGGGTATACTGTATGAAGTTCTACAGTGGTCGGTGGTGATGGAGAGGTGTTTTCTTTCTTTTTGGAGCTGCAAAGTTGATGCGCATGCTGGGGGAAATGATGTGCCAAAGTTGTGGAAGAAGCTAGGATGCGATGTAGCAGCGTGTGTAAGTTCTTCGTAGGATCTGTTCTGCTGAGGAAGGAGTTTTGGAGGTTGAAGTATTTCCAAGTGGATTCCAGAACGTGGGCAGGAAGATGGATGAGACTATGGATGTGTACTGTACTATACAAGTTGTTCACATTGAATGTGTTTTCATCCACAACTCATCATGAATCTATCTTGATTGGCAAGGTTTCAAAGGACTAGGAGTCAATGGAACCTACCGGTTTGAATGAATCTACATCTTGAAAAACTGGTGCTACAACTTTTTTTTACATTTGAATGGAACATACTGGTCTACAATCCTAGAGAGGTTGAACAGCCCTATAGTTCATGCCAGCGCCCATCCCAAATGTACACTAAAAGGGGTCCTACATCGTTCAGGTCTCCAAAAACCCCTCTGGAATGGTTTACTCTTCAATTGGTGACTGGGCCAAACGGTAGACTTCTTCAAGGAGTAAACCGCATCCACCAAACCGACGAGCCGGCCGAGGAGACCGAGGCTACATGTATTGGAGGCACCGCCGACGACGACGTGGGGAACGAGGGGGACTGTCCTGGACGCGTTTCGCGCGTTTGACATGCCCAGCCGAGTTGTTCGACCCAGGGCCAGCTGAGCAAAGGTAGCATGAACATGAATTTCAATTGCCATGAACTTCAATCGATCTTTTGAGAACTTAAGGGCTTGAACCAAGAGACAAAGTCTTGCTTTTTCACGGGCACCTGGCCTGGCTTGTTCAAAGCTCGTCATTTTGGGCACTGCATGTGCTGCATGTGCGCTGAGTGGTAAACCAGGTTCCTGGATGGCCGTTCACCCCACTCAGTGCCCTTGAAACTGGGCCGTTCAACCTGTCAGTCTGGTAGGTCCTGGTACCACCATGGTAGCGACTTTGACCGACACAAGGTAGGTCGTGCCATGACCCACAGCCAGATGGCGGATCCATGTTTGAACATGGAAAGGTTCTCCAGAGGTTCGGGACGCGTTGGATGTGGCGTTCTTAGATTGCTAATGCGATAGAGGCAGAATCTTCTCAGGCCGTCTATCGATCCCTCTTGGATTCCAAACTGTCCACCATCATCGGCTTCTCTGAGCAGGTCGAACATTCACGGACACTATGAAGCGATTCCTTATTTCCCAGACACTCCATGTGCAGTGTGCCATATATGCCTACATTGACTGGAAACCGCCCCAACTGATCGGCATAGATGGCAGTCCCATTAGTCGTGTCTCGGTTTGTTTGTTTAAGATCTTCCATTGTCTGTCTTCCTCTCCCAAGAGAGGTTGAAGGACCCGACCGTTCGACTATCCCAGCCTGGTACCCCAGGTGACAGGTCCTAGTTCAGGTCACTGGCTACCTCTCTTCCTCTCCTTCGGAACAAGAAAAAACCAGCTCTCCAAGCCACGTCACGTCCGATCCATGGCGCCCTCACGCGACGGTGCGTGGCGGAGAGAGCGAGTGGGTCAGGATGCTGGGGAAGTCGCCGGAGATGGCGAAGCAGGTGGGGTCAGATGATGGAGTCAAGCCATGAGTCCTGGAGTTGGAGAGTCCAGTTTTTTTTTGTGTGTGGAGAATTGATATATGTTTAGATGCTAGGAGAGGATTGAATCCTTTCTTGGAAGGTTGAATCCTTCTCACCACTGACCTACCACTGACTCACGTTAGAAGATCGAAGGTGGTTGAGTCCTGGCGTTGGGATTAGTCCATGTGAAGTGGAGTCCCTGGAGTCCCTGGAGTCCCTGGAGTCCCTGGAGTCCCTG